TACTACAGACTGAGGAAGTTTGAATATGTTTTCAGTAGAGAGATTGGGGTACTTTTTTCAACCTACGTATATATTAATTTGAATTGCGATGAGAAAAATATTATACAACTTTTCTTTTTATCATGTCACACGTGCACTTCTGTAAATTAATTTAATTTAGCTGATCCATTTAATGTCTCACTGTATTTTTGCCATAACTTTGCCAAAGCTAGTCCAAAATCCTCAGATCTGGTAATTTGCTGAATACCGAAAAGTAAAAGATTCTGAAAAGTTTATGAGGGATGTGACAAGTCCTCTAAGTTTTACTGTGGTGACACTATGATATTTGACAACTGAGAGAAGACTACAGATTTGTATGTTTGATTTGCATTAATGTTAGAAACTGCAAGCTGTTAATACAAGAAACCTCCTGCCCCAAATTTCTAAGAGAAAGTTAAATTTAAAATAGTTCATTAATACACTGTACATTAACAGTACCAGTTTTGTGTTTTGTACACATCAGTTTTTCAAATAACACTTTTTTTCCTAACAAATTAAGGTCATAGAAAACAATTCCATCCTCAATTAAAAATTTTTATTGCATTTTTTCATTTCATTTTTATTTTTCTGACCGACTGCTTAAATTTCAAGCTTTTATTTTTATTTTTATTTCGACCCCCCGACTTAAATTTTTGAAAAAAATTCCCGTAAAACAGAAAATAAAAAAATGTTGGCCTTATGTTCAAGTATCGGCGTATAATGTAGAATGAAGAAGTAACAACTTATAAAGACAAAGTGTTTATAATGAAGAAGTATCAGCATTTTATGAAGAAATATCACATGTTAAAAAATATCAGCATATAATGAAATTGTATCAGCAAATCCTGTCAAAGTATCATTATATAATGAAAAAGTATCATCATAATAATGAAAAATGCATGTCAACATAATAATGTCATATACACATGTAATATAACTAACTGTTGATTATATAAAAAAAAAAAGCATTGGCTCTGCGAAGTTACATATATTTCACATGGACTTTTTCGTTTGTGAAGACTCATGCGCGGATCTAGAAGGGGGAGGGGGCCCAGACCCACCCCCCTGGAATTTGCAGTTACTAAAAGTAGATACTGAAGCAAATAAAAAATGATTTTGGACCCCCCCCCCATCCCCTAAAAAATCGTGGACTCCACCACCACGAAATAGTTTTGTTTTGTTTTTAGGTTACCTGAGTCATTCAGGTGACCTATTGCTATCCGTTTTTGTCCGTCGGCGTTCGTCGTTCGTCGTGCGTCAGTGCGTTAACATTTGAACATTTTTAGCTTCTTCTCTGAAACCGCTCAACCAATTTCAACCAATTTTGGCATATAGCATCTATGGGTGAAGGGGAACAAAAATTGTGAATTTCATGGTCCCTGCCCCCCTGGGGCCTGAGGGCTGGGGTTAAAACCACCAAAAATAATGCAATCTTTAAAAATCTTCTTCTTTACTCCTGGACATCAAGCAGTCTAACTGTTGGCATCATTGTAATAAGCATTGAGCCCTCTACCAAAATTGTGAAATTCATGGCCCCAGGGTCAGGGGTTCTGGCCCCAGAGCGGGGCTATATAGATCATATAGTGAAAGTGCATTACTTCTTTGAAAATCTTCTTCTCTGCTCCTGGGTATTAAATAAAGTAACTAAGTACATAGTTATGAAGAGCAAGACTGCCTCTTCCAAAATTGTGAAAATCATGGCCCCAGGGTCAGGGGTTCAGGTGTTAGGGCGGGGCTCCATAGATTATATAGTGAAAAAGCATTAATTCTTTGAAAATCTTCTTCTCTGCTCCTGGGAATTAAATAAAGTAACTAAATATATAGCTATGATGAGCAAAAGTGCCTTTTCAAAAATTGTGAATTTCATGGCCCCAGGGTCAGGGGTTCTGGTGTTAGGGCGGGGCTCTATTGATTATATAGTGAAAATGCATTGATTCTTTGAAAATCTTCTTCTCTGCTCCTGGATATTTAGTAAAGTAACTAAGTACATAGTTATGATGAGTAAGAGTACCTCTTCCAAAATTGTGAATTTCATGGCCCCAGGGTCAGGGGTTCTGGTGTTAGGGTGGGGCTCTAATGACTATATAGTGAAAATGCATTAATTCTTTGAAAATCTTCTCCTCTGCTCCTGGGCATTAAGGTGATAAACTAAGTACATAGTTATGATGAGGAGGTGGGCCTCTTCCAGAATTGTGAAAGCCATGGCCCCTGGGTAAGGGGTTCTGGTGTTAGGGTGGGGCTCTATTGATTATATAGTGAAAATGCATTAATTCTTTGAAAATCTTCTTCTCTGCTCCTGGATATTATTTGAACAAACTAAGTGCATGGTTATGATGCATAAAGATGCCTTTTCAAAAATTGTGAATTTCATGGCCCCAGGGTCAGGGGTTCTGGTGTTAGGGCGGGGCTCTATTGATTATATAGTGAAAATGCATTGATTCTTTGAAAATCTTCTTCTCTGCTACTGGAGATTATTTAAACAAACTAAATGCATGATTATGATAGGCAAGGATGCCTCTTCCAAAATTTTTAAATATATGGCCTCAGTTTTTGGGGTTCTTGAGGAGGGGGGGGGGCTCTATTGATTATATAGTGAAAAAGCATTAATTCTATTAATTAATCATCAATTAATCCTGTCTGCTCCTTGGTGATGAACTGATAAATAAATTGTTTAGCTATGATGAAAATGGGAGCTTCAAACAGAATTTTTAAATCTTGTGGTCCTAGGGTCAGGGGTTCTGGCATAACGAGGGGGGGGGGGGGCTTTTGATAATATAGTGGAAAAGTGTTAATTCTTTAAAGTCCATAGTTATGATGATGAGGGTAACTCTTCCAAATTTGTAAATTTCTTGACCCTTGGTCTTGGGTTCTGGTGTTAGGGTAAGGCTTTGTTGAATCTTTAGTGAAAATGCATTGTACCTGTGAAATTCTTCTCTGCTTCTGGGCATATCGGAAGAAAACTGAGTAAAAGTTTAAATGATATAAGTAAGCGTATTTCTACCAGATTTTTGAACATCTGGACCATTTGTCTAAGCATTCTAGTCCTGGGCAGGGCTCTATTAATTTGTATTCTACTGAGAGAAGTTATTCCCCTTTTCCATTCACCTTTGATAATTAATCACTGTAAATAATACATTTTGAAGGTTAATAGAAAAGATAATTATGCAAGAATGTTTATCATATAATTCAAAAAGTATTTTCTTAGTTTTAATAAACAGGTAGACCTGTAAGTAATAGATAAATAAAAATGAGACAAAAATAACTTATCTTATTAAAAGTTCTTCAAAGACCATAAGAGAGGTCAATGCTAGAGGTCTTAATATGGGTTTAAAAATAGTACAGAAGCACTAATAGTTTGTTAATAGTCTGCATGTGATAGTGTTAAGTGGGGGACAGATTAGAACTTAATTTATGAGTTGATACTGAATACTAGACTAATTATTTTGTTGATCCTGATCTTCCTACTTCTTTTGCTTTAGGGCAACAAAGCTTCATCTATCAGTGTATTTAACTTCTAAATTGTTTTATTATACTCAGGTGACCGTTAAGGCCCTTGGGCCTCTTGTTTTTTTACGATTTACTTTAATATCTTTTTTTTTCTTGTCAAGAATTCTCCGGGTTTGATACGTTTTGGAGAGGACTTTACGTTTTTTTTGGGGGGGGGGGTGTTTTTTGTTTTGTTTTGTTTGTTTGTTTGTTTTTTTTTTGTTTTGTTTTTGTTTTGTTTTGTTTTTTTTGTTTTTTTTGGGGGGGGGGGTGTTTGTTGTTGTTTTTAAATCATTACTATTTTTGCTTGTCAAGAAATTTCTGGATTGGATTTTTTTTGACTGGGGTGGACCCACCCCGGGAAAAATTCTTGGATCTGTCTGAGACTTCGGAATTTCCTTGATAGGATAGCGATCTCGCTTTTTCTACTGTAAAACTAAATTGGAAGAGAAACATGTACGATTAAAGTTGAATGATGTTTATTATAGAGTCAGCAAATTATAGCTTCACAATCTGTCTGGGCGCTAATTCAGATCTGAGCTCTTGACCAACCACATCTAGTTAGTTTCATATTCTCAAAATTCTAAACTTGAATGTAAAAATATATATCCCGGCTATTTCGGGGGAGGGGGGGGGGTAGGAGTTAGGAGGGCAACTCGCGGCGTATATATATATATATATATATATATATATATATATATATATATATCCTCACCATTTTATTTGGGGTCCGTGTTTTCGAGGGAGGGGGGTGGTCCAAAGTCAAGTCATTTTTTGGTAAATGGTTACCCTGCTATGAATGAAAATTCAGTCACTGAAAATCCCAGGGGTGGGATGGGGATGCGGACCCTTCTGGCCCCTAGATCCGCGCATGACATTGTTCTAAATCTCAGATATTTAAAACGATTTATCTTGAACAGTACTTTTTTATTTTGGGCTAACTTTTTTTTCAGTTTATCTTTACTTTTCATTCATATTTGAAATTTTCATGATGAATTTTACATATTTTTACATATTTGGAGTAAAAAAAAAATATGAGCGGAAAATAATAAATATAACTTTCTTAAGCCTAAAGGGAGTGTTTTGAACTTTGTTAAAAGTCAAGACCAGCTGGCTCTAGATCATGTTGTTTTTGATCAGTGTGTGTTCTTTTTAATCAACTCACTTGATATGAAAATCTAATTAAAATGAGTCAATTAAAAAAATTTCCTGGAGACTTTGTAATGTGTTATAACTTCTGTGTTAGTTTTCCCTGTGTACACTATAAATAAAGTACGCGAAGCTAATCATTGCTTAAGATCTGTGCTGTTCATTTTACCTCCCTGTCATTCCTAAAGTATTCGGATATACAACGGAGAAGTTTGTCACCCCTGGTCATAAATCAACATAATTTAGAATTTTATTTAATTAATTTTAATCACTGACACCTTCTGATATAATTAAATATATGCATATCATTGTTTATTTAGATTTCCATGGGAAAAATCTGAACAAGGGAGGTAAACAGAATCATCTATTCATCGGCAAATCGCACGTTTTTAATGTTACAGATAAACTAATATTTTCCTTAGACTTTCCTGTGGATATTTGGATTATTTCTCATCGATTTTCTTGTAAATAGGTAAGTGATATCTTCAAGAATATATGTACAAATTTTGAATATACTCAATGAAGAATACAATGGAGTATTTTGCTTGTGAAATTAAAGCCTTTGTTACAATGATCGGTCACGGAGTCCGCTATTCATGACAAGTGCTTGCTTATATTCTTCTAACCACTTTGTTACTTTTTCGATGCAGAAGAACTTAATCTGTCTTTAAAGAAGTATAATTAATAGTTCATTGTCATGTCTATTAATATTTTTTCAATAATGAGGCCATAATATCCACAATGTTGATGAAAATCAATAGGAACACATTGATCCAATTATCGTGTCGTTTGATCTTTTGACAGCCAGGAATGTCTTCAGACAGGGGAAGTGGTAGGGGCAGGGGTAGACGATCCCGAGGGGGACAGAATGAAGGTACCCAAAGTTCAGGTCCTGATAGTCCTGCGGAAGCGAATGGACCCAGCACTTCAGTTGTTTTGGAGCCCCCCGCCCCTGCCCCCAAGTCTGCCCCGAAAAGCTTTAAACCCACAGGAACAAGCATGAAGAGGTATATTCACTTCCTGTAATATCTTGATCACGGTATTTATTATTTAAGTATTGATGGTGCATGTTTGAGGAACGATAATATTCAGTGCACTCATGACAAGGCCTTTGAGAAATCTGCCTCATTTGCATATAAGATATTTTGTCATGGTTCTTAAAATCGGTGACACTTTATTATTTATTTTAGTTATGTTATGAATCTCTGAACTCTAAGCATCATTTTAACATGCATCATGCTGGTTTAAACTTCATGGTTAACAAGATATTGTTCAATGTTTTTTAACAGTAGAAAGGTCAAAAGGTCAAATACATGCCAGAAGAAGTTTTATACACTAAACTTTGTGGGGATTTCCTATGTCAGGTGAATTTGTCAGAGGCTGGTCATTTTAAAAGTAAAACATATGTCAGTTGTACAAATAAAACTGAATGGCTTTAGAATAAAATTACACCAAAACTAAAAGGGAAAGAGGAATTATAAGACATGAGTTAAAAGAAGGTTGCAGGTGTAGCCAGCATGTGTGAAATATGCAGGGGTGTGGTGGTCACTTTGAAGCCTTGTATGGGTCCAGGATAAGTAGGAAATGATGCATAAGATCCTGAGTACGTGACCAAATCGGCATCTGAATTATACAAATTATTAAAAAAAAACAAGTATTCCACAAAATTGAACAAAACATGCCTGCATTCACTGTGTTGATGATCACGTCTCCAAGTGTGTTGGAGATGCTTTACTGAGATTTTATTTATGGAAAAATGGCACACTATTTATAAATTAGATATGTTTCTATCAATTTGTCGAGTTGTAATGTCTTTTTTGACCAATTTTGCCCTGCAAGTTATGCGAAAATTGCTTGCATTTTAATTATAAAATACATATCTTTTTGAAAAATCATAAGCATTAAAGCAACATTTTGTATGTTTATATGAATGAACAGAAAGATTATGTACCTTTAAACAAGGTTTTGAATTCTTTGTTCATTTTAAATTTTTAACACCTTTAGCATTTTTAGGTCAAAGTACTTTGTTACATATTTTGAAGTGAAAAGTTCTGCTCAATAGATGATCCTATCTTGGATCTCCCCCCATCCCCACCCCCCAAAAAGTACACCAAGCAAAGTGTATTTTATCTGTTTTCCATTCCTTTCCATGGTGTTGAAGTTTTTCATCATTGGAACTAATACATTTGAAAATATGTATTTAATATATATATTTTTCTATTTAAGTAATGCTGAGATGAAAAAGAATTCACTTAAAAAAAAAAAGAAAGAAAAAAAAAAAGACACAACTATGCATCAATGTATGTCATATAAGCCACCCTAGCTGATAAACTATTGTCCAGACATCAAGTCATAAAAATTCATGAAGCCTCTGAACCCGCTCTTTGGCAAATTTAAAACATTGTGTTGTAAATTACTTCTTTTCCTTTTATTTACCATGCAAGTATCAGAAAGGGCACATTAATCGCTGATTGGTAATTTATTATCAAGAAAAAAGGATTTTCTGATACATGTATATGCAGCTCTATGGATCTTGCAATGAGAGATATGCAGGTCTTTCAGTCATAGTTGTGACTTTCCTGTTACCTTGACCCTCAAATCTACAGGAATCCAGACTGGATACATCTGGCTCCAGGATCATGACACAGACTTAGACTTAAGTCAAATTTTCAATCGCCTGTAAAATATTTATTACTTATTGAATTTATCTCTAACTTTGCAGATAAGAACACTTTTGTGAAGCAATATTGAAAAATATTTTAATTTTTGTCTGCTTGACTTCTACAACATTTTGATATAAAATAAAGATTTTGACTTAAGCTTAAGATGTTTCATGATCCTGGGGCGAGGTCTATCAAAATCTGCTGGTACCTGGTACATTTACCCGGCTGAAATCATGACTGTACCAGCCAAAATATTCAATGGTGAAAAATTTTATAAGACATTTAATTAAAATTCGCTTCCACATGGTACCTCCTATTTTCTATAAAAGTACCATCTACTTCTAATCTTTTTGAAAGCTCTGATAGATTGTTATTTAGGTAGTTATCTAAGCCAGGGGTGAACAATCTATATTTTTGTTTGTGAAATTGAAAATGTGTCTTTTTTCATGTAATTAGATTTTTTTTCAGTTTGAAGTTTAAATTAATTTTTTGTTTTGGGATCCAGGTACTGCTTACAAATATACAGTTTAAATATGTATAACATTTAATGGTACTATAGATTTATCATGTTTACATAAACACAAGCAGGTATCATGGTGTACGTGATTAATTAGCAATGTTACTTAAATTAGCATTGACACACACATTAATGCTCAAAAACATAGATCAGTTTTCTAAAGTGTGGCATTTTATTAAGGTATTTTGAAATTGCCACAGGTGTAATTCACCAATAAACAGGAAAATTAGTGTATTAATTCAGAACTTTATATATTAAAGTCTAAGTAAACACCATGCTAAAATAGAGTAACCATTTATGAAATGTGTCAGTTTTAGCCAGTCATTTTATAGTTTTGTTTGTTTGTTGTTGATTTTAGGTCAATTACGTCACTTTTTGCTTTCTGTTGTCATCCATGGTGGGCTAACATTTTTAGCTTCTTCTAAGGAACTGCTGAGCCAATTTCAAACAATTTTGGCATATAGCATGTATGAGTGAAGTAGAACAAATTTTTTTAATTTCATGGTCCCTGCTGCCTGGGGCCTGAGGGATGGGTCTAAAACCATCAAAATAAATGCAATCTTTAAAAATCTTCTACTTTACTCCTGGACTCCAGGCAGTCAAACTGTTGGCATGATTGTAATAAGTATTGAGCCTCCTACCAAAATTGAGAATTTCATGGCTCCTGAGTCGAGATCTGGAATTACATAGGATGGGGATGTATTGATCATATAGTGAAAATGAATATTTTTTTTAAAAAAGCTTCTCTCTCCCTGTTTATTTAGCAGACAAACTAATAAGTACATAGATATCTTCCAAATTCATGGCCCAAGGATCAGGCCTAGGGGTTCTGGTGATAGGGAGGAGCTCTTTTGATCATAAATTAAAAGTGCATTTATTCTCTGAAAACATTCTTCTCTTCTCCTGTGTATTTAGCAGACAAACTAAGTGCATAGCTATGTTGAGTGCTTCTTTCATAATTGTGAAATTCATGGCCCCAGGGTTTAGGGTTCTGGAGTTGGGTGGGTCTCCACTGGTCATTTAGTGAAAATGCATTTATTATTTGAAAAAAACTTCTTTTGAATATTTAGCAGAGGAACTACGTGCATGGTTATGATGAGCAAGAGTGCTCCCAAATTTGTGAAATTCAAATCCCCGGACACAGGGGTTCTTGACTAAGGGTTTGGCCCTAATCATGTGTGGGAATATTTACACAGCTATAAGAAAAGTTAGCCCTCTTGTAATTCAATTATGTCAATTAATCAATGTATATAATATAATTGATAGGTGAATTGAATTAAAGAATTATACAAAAATTTCTAATATATAATAAAAAAGTACTTTTAATTAATAGTTTTTAATAGCAGGTAGACTTGTAAATAAAAGATGAAAGAAAATAAGACAAAAATACCATATATATGTACATTAGATAGTGCTGGGTATCACAACTGAAAAATCGTATCGCAATATATTGCAATGATAAATTTTCTATTGCAATTTATTACAATATAAAATTCATATTCATATTTGTTTTTTTCTTTTATATGAAAACACAAACTATGAAAACACAAATATGTGTTCTGGAGTTGATATCAGCATTGCCCAGCCCTGTGGTGCTGGGGCATGTGGCTAGTTGAGTTTGTTGTGCCACAAATTTTTTTTAATAATCTCCTTGCAGTAGTCACATACAGCTTTAATTTGAAGTGGTTTCATGTAGCAGCTGTTCTCCTTTGGTTTCTAATCAATTCAACGTCTTATGCTGCCATATTTTACTTTAAAAAGGGCAAGTAACTCTTTGTAACGTTTTAAAGAATATCAAGCCCAAACAGGTATTCACAAAAAAGTACCGCAATGCATATTGTGAACCATGAAATCTGGATTCAGCGGTTAACCATTAATATCGCACAGCACTAACATTAATAACAAGAAGCCCATGGGTCACATCGCTCACCTGAGCACATTGGCTTGGAAAAAACACAAATCAGTTCAGTATTGAAAAGTTTACAGGGGGGGGGGGGGGGGGGGGACTAGAATTTTACACTACCTTATGATGCCTCCATATCAATATAACAAATGGCTTTGCTGTTCTTGAGAAGAAGATTTTTTAAAGATTTATCCTATATATTCCTTTGTAAAAAAAAATTGTTAATTAACAGCAAAAGCTGAAAGGTTTAAAAATTAGAACTATCTAACAAAGGTCATGTATGGATATCACTAAAAATCATATACAGTGAAAATTAATACTTATATCTTCAATTTTGTTTTAGATAAAGAATATGTTTTTCCTTCAGAGAATGTAATGTTTATTATTTACATTTGCAAATATTTTTCTTAGATGAACCTATTGAAGAGAAAATATGTTCAATTCTGTATGAACTTATTTGGGGGTCAGAGGTCATGGCATGACCGAATCACACAGCGCGATGATATCTGTCTACATATTTCTGTCACGGTGACACTGGTTTCGGAACTTCTAACCCGTTAAAGCGATGAAAAAGATAAAATTATTGGAACATATATGTTTTTCTTCGTTCAACAAATGATCATTTGTTCTTTCTTCGATGCGAAGAAAGCCTAAAATCACGCTTACCTTTTTAACCCGAAATCCCTCTGAAGGTATGTAAACGGAAGACGATAGCACCGCTTTTGACTTCATATATAAAGAACTCATACAATAATAGTAAGATTATTGTCAGTAGCGATCATTGTTTTGCATTAGGAACAGATATTTCCTGAACTGGACTGCTGAACATCAATGTAAGTATTCAAATGTTGGAGCGAGGCGAACTCTCAAGACCAAACAGCTTCTAGGTCATTGCGCGTCACAACGTAGCAATACGGCGGGCCGTTCGTGTAATAAATGCAGTTCTTTTCAGAATATTTGTCTCAAATGTAAATAAAAGTAATAAACAACAATGTTAAAAAGTTCACTGGGAAATGAACTTGGTTGGTACGTGATCAAATCTTCTGAGAAGCCCTTCGGGCTTCACAGGATTTGATCACGTGACCAACCAAGTTCATTTCCCAGAGAACTTTTTAACATTGTTGTTTATTTCTTAAATATAGGTACAGAGATTTTAAAATTTAAATGAGAGGATCATTTCTAAATGTAAGATATCAAATGAAATGAAAAAATCATTTTCAGAAAATTGTGGTCCCCCGTTTTCAGTGTCTTATTATTGAGGTGCAGTGATCTATTGTTGCAGTTGCAGAAACTAATTACCTAAGGTTCTAATATTTGAAAAGTAGCCAGACTTCAAGGTTATGAGATCAAAAGTTAAAGTGCTATAGGAAAAGTCTTGAACAGGTAATACACATGTGAAATATGAAGACTCCATCTTCTCTCATTCAAAAACAATGGCAAAGGTTAAATTTTTTTGAAAAGTAAGTCAAACTTCAAGGTCAAGGTTATGAGGTCATAAATCATAGTATATTCAGAAAGTGTTTGTCAAAGGAAATGCATTTGTGAAAAATGAAAGCCTCATCTGCTATGACTAATGCTGTCAGTGTTTTTGTGACAGATAGACGGACACAGCTAGATGAAGAGATTTAATGTTACCTCACTTTTGCGAAAAAAGGGGCATAAAAATATTATGCAAATGCTATATGAGGAGGCAGTAACCAGTAGGAGTTTGGGTGGGGGCAGTTATCTTTTCAGATTGGAAATCACAATAGAGAACACTTTTAGGGGCATGGGCAGTTAATTTGAAATATAGGGTAATAGAGATTGAAAGCAAGCAGTAGCTGTAGCTGTAGGAATTATGTTAAATTTTTAAAAGACAAGGTATGGTAAAGGCCAAATATGGCCCTTTTTGATTCAACAATCAAAACACAGTTAAAATTGTGATAGTTTGCAGAACTTAAGATTAATTAAGCTTGTTTTAAAACCATCATTAATTTTGATTCAGAATCAAATCATTGATGGAGGCCACAAGAGGGAGACAAAGTAGAGCATTTTTCTTTTCAATTCTGATGTAATTCTGTAAAATTTTTCAGTTTGGGAAACATAAAAGCACAAGCTTATTATATACTCTGTGAAACAAAATGTGCTTTAAAATTGATGAAAATTTGAAAAAAAAGAGAACATTTGGAAATCCAAGTACTCAAAATTGTTAGATTCTCAAACTTATTACCTGCTCTTGTTACTAAGTCACTCAGTTGGGCAGTTTTGTTCATGTGGCTGCCTATTGATTTTAGAGGAATTGATTTAATGAATTTCTTGAATTTACAATATTTTTTTCAGTAATCATCATTTTAATACATGTTTATATTATCTTTGGTATCTTTTAGAATTCAGAAAGAATTAGCAGAGATTACAATTGACCCACCTCCAAACTGCAGGTTAGTTAATTATAATTGTTATTAAATGATTTTGAATTACCATTGCATTGAAACAAAGGAATATCTCTGTAATGTACACTGTATGAATTACCATATTTATATTCAGTTTTTTCATGATGGACTGTTCTAACGTGGATGTAGTAAACACTGTTGAATATTAATGGTTCTCTATGTTTGATCCTTATTGATTTTTTCAAGGTTTAATTCTCCTTTCTATGGGCATTTGTGCAGTGGTTATAGATATATCTGTTGCAACTGAATGAGGTGTAGTTTTGAAGTTAACCAAACATTGATATGAAATCCTGAATTTTCTTTTGCCAGATTATTTGGTCATAAACTGTATGTAATTTAACTTTCATGGCTTTGTTTGAATTTTGATTCTTAAACTGCTTTTAAGGTTGCAAAAGAATTGAGTAAAGTGGCCCCATAATGATGACCCAAATAACTTGTACAATACAAGTACATTAAAGTACTTTTATGAATTGAACCCTTCACAGCTACACACTTCAACATAAAGTTTTATTGAAGATATAATCTTGGATTATTTTTCTGTAGATGATGCTTTAGATGCCTGTATACTTTATTATTTTTCAGTGCTGGTCCAAAGGGAGACAATATGTATGAGTGGGTGTCCACCATTTTAGGACCCCCGGGATCTGTGTATGAGGGAGGAGTCTTCTTTCTGGACATTCATTTCTCAGCAGATTATCCATTTAAGCCACCAAAGGTACATGTTTTATTTATTGTCAATAAAGTGGCATGACAAGACAAATTGCACATTGTATTTAAACTAGATTTGGCAAGCTGCTAACCTATGGTAACATTAATCAGTTGGAATGATGTAATCAGCTGCAAAATTCACAATGGGCTTATGATACATACATGTTCTTTGTTTTATCATGATTATTATCATGATTTTTTAAAAACTGTTTTCTTTGTGAAGTGTTTGAAATTTTGACCGAAAAATTTCATTAATTATTATTGATGATTTTGCATCATCTTTTGTACAATGAAGCTCACTTTACAAAGCCTAGCCATGTCTTCATACATTTGTAAATTATAACAAATAAATTAATTTATTATTGTTTAAATCACAAAACCTGAGTCACTCAGGTGACCTGTTACTATCTGCTTTTGTCCATCCTCATGTCATACACTTTGAAACATTTTTATCTTCTCTTGAATGGCTGAACTAATTATAACCAATTTTGTGATGAAGTATCTAGGGTTATAGGGAAATAAATATTGTGAATTTCAAGTTACCTGCCCCCATGGGGCTTGAGAGGTGGGACCAAAATCATCAAAATTAATGCAGTTTTCTAAAATCTTCTATACTTCTGGACATCAATCAGTCAAACTGTTGGCATCATTATAATGATATTGTGTTTTATGGGTTCTGGTAATAGGGTGGGGCTCAACTGATTATAGTAAAAATGCATAATTTCTTTAAAAATCTTTTCTCTCCCCCAGTAGTTTTATTAGACAAACTAAATGCAGGTATAATGAGCAAGGTGCTTCTTCCAAAATGGTGAAATCATGAGTTCTGGTGTTAGGACAGGGTTCTATTGATTATATAGTAAAAATGCATCAATTCTTTAAAAATCTTCTTTTCTCCCCCTATAACTTTAGCAGATGAACTGAGTGCATGTTTAATGAGCAAGGATGATTCTTCCAAAATTGTGAAATTCATGGTCACAGGGTCAGGGATTGTGGTGTTTGGATAGGGCTGTATTGATTGTACTTTGAAAATCCATTAATTCTTTAAAAATCTTCTTCTCTCCCCCTGTAGTTTTAGCAGACAAACTAAATGCATGGTTATGATGAGCAAGGGTGCCTTTTCCAAAATTTGGATTTTTTTTTTGTTTTTGAACTGGGTGGATCCCCTCCTCCTGAAAAAATCTTGGATCTGTGCCTGTTTAATGAGGTAACTTTTGAATCCATACTTTAACAATGACATTGTCTCTTTCACATGTCAAGATTTTGACAGAATGTTCAATAGGTCACAGCCAATTGAGTCAGGGTTCATCAGGACATGCGAATATTAGAATATATATTAGAATATAATATATTATTATAAGCCCTTAAGAATATTCAACAAACTTTAATAATAAAATAATTATCCTAAATATTAATAAGTTAATTCAAGAATGCATTATTCAGTAACTATTTATACCATATTGATACTGAACAAAGCTAATTTTGACTGCAACATGTCTATTACAGCTTTGGATAAAAATAGCAACTGTGCCAATTATATGCCAGGAATTTTCCTTTACAAAGGATGGCTCTATATTTACAGTCAGACAAATAAAAAAAAATCATAAAAAGATTTCTGAAAGACTGAAATGGGAGTTAAAAGTTTTTTAACCAAGTTCAGTTCACATACATTTTATCTGAGTGGACCACTCATTTAGTGGACTTGGTCGATTAGATGAGTCTTAGTGCTAAACCCTGATATGGATTCGAAATTTTGTAAAATTTAATGAACTGATGTCCTGAAAAAATATTGAAAAAGAATGTCTGGGTTTATTACTAAAATATATAACAGGCCTGCCCTTCTCAGTTTAATTGCATGAATGTGCATATGTTCAAGTGTTTTCAAAATAAATAAGCTGTTAGAGTAGTAATTTAACTTGAACAATGAACCTCAATATTTTGAACATGGTGCGACTAAGTAAAAACCTCCAAGATATCTAAGAGTTTGAAATATCGAAGTCAAGAACTGTACACAGGACCATTAGTTCCCTTAGTTAATCGTACCATAAATGTTTATTGACTGTATAGAAAGAACTTGAAATGAATATGCATATTGATGCAACTGGGTAACTGCTTGGTCAGAATAATTTGTTCAAATAAGCAATTCTGCATTTTGATTGCTACCATATATTTAAAGCACCCTAATGTAAGGCATCAGATTATTATTTTTTTTAATTGCACTGTGTTGTAAATGACATGAATTATACAAACAAATTGATTAATATGCATCACACACTTTATACTGTCATGAAACCTAGTTGTAAATTTATGACACAGTGCAATGCAAAAAATGATCATTTAGCACTTAAATATTATTTTACTTTAAATTTAAAAAAAATAAATAAATCTCAGTTTATCTGTGTACATACCATATGGTGATCATTTAGGCATAAAAAGAGTTAGGTCCAGTTTATGCATAAAATGGCCCTTTCCTTAAACCAATTAATTGATTTTCATTATCTGTCCTAACATTGACAGAAAGTAAAGACTTAGTGCTTTCACTCCTGCAACAAAGTTTCCTTTGAGAGTCCAGGTATTGGAATACAGGGTTTGTGAAAATGTGATGTTCTTGAATTTTGCAGATGTATTGGAGTACTTTCAGCAAAGAATTAAAATATGGGCACACCCCTCAATCCAAAAATAAAATATGCTTTTAATTATAATCTTCAGAAACGGCTCTATTAATTTATTATAGAATTTCACATTTTGGATCAGAAATTATGCTGTATACAGAATATTGAAAAATAGCTTAAATTTTTGGCTATTTTTGAATGAATTTTCAGGAAATGGGAATATTAATGGCACATTTCATGACAGTTTGACTATAGCAAGAAAATTACGTCATTTTCAATAGATATGCAGTTATGCACACCAAATTTAATTCGTAATTAAAAAAAACTGAGTAATTTTGAATTTCCAGAAATTCACAGGGCCAAAAAAAAGGCCCTAAGTGAGCCTTGCTTTTGTGCAAACAAAAAAAAAAATAGATTTGGAACTAATATTAATTTGCACACTTGATGATTATGGCAAATTGCATAATTTTTCAAATATGAATTAAACAGAAAATTGGTAAGAAAGTAATTTATAAAATAGATGGTATATTTTTTTAAGAATATAGAAAATTGTGAGTGTGAGAGAAAGTAATTGAGGTTGCAGGGAGTTGGGAGATGTGGAAAAAGTGAGATATCTCTGTAGGAAGGAAATAGGAAATCCAATGAAGGATGTGTTTCACCGTAAGAGGTTTGCCGTGAGGATTTCATGGCAGTATCAAGTAGGAATACACAATGAGCTAAAATCAATTCAGCTATAACCTCGTTACTTGGTTTCAAGCCACTTTGTAGATTTTCTCTGACTGTATTTAGATACAGTTCCTTGGCTTTGTGCACAATTTGTTATTTGTAGAAAGATGTTGGATTGAAAGAACAAACAGCAGTATGTGTAAATTGACTGGATTCATTATAGGTAGATGAAAGTGTTAATAAATAAGTATGTACATGTATGTACAGTCAATTAAGTGTTAATTTATTGGGTTTAAAAACAGCTCTGAGTTTTGATGTATTTTGTCATGTTTCCAGATGTGTGTGTGTGACAGTATGTACATGTAATGTCATTATCATGTTTATGTATACCATCAGCATGTGCTGAAATGTCAACTACCATACAAGATCTTTTGTATCTTTAAAAAAAATGAATTGATATTCTTTCAGACTGATTTATCAACTTGATTTGTCATGTTAATTCTTTTGGGAAGATTTTAAAAGAAATGTGAAAAGGGGGAAATTGAAAAGAGTTATTACAGGATAGCCTACTTCATGTATAATACATTGTATGTATTCTAAATTTAATAATAAGCATTGAGTGCAGTTATGACATTGTTATCATTTGTTTATGTACGTAGATTGAGCAATGTTATCAGTCAGTCATATATGTTCAAAACACAGACAGCATTGTTCTTGATCGTGCTGCAAAAAATTTCAATGTCTGCTGGGTATAAAAAACAATAATCTGGATTTCTTTTCCCTGTTGTACAGTTGGTTTTGCCTCACCACCTGTTTAATAAAATTAGAAAAAAATCTTCATGCTTGACTGCTTCTGAAAGAGAAACCAATGCTTTCACTGCTGCTTTATTAGGAAAATACAAGGCCATTTGATCTTTTGGATGACATAAAATTACGCTACAAACTGTCACTGTATTTCTTTTATTCCATTGAAGATTTATCTTATCAAAGAAATTTAATAATTTTTGAGATGTAAATAATTGTAAATTAACTATTTTATAGAGACCTTTTTCCAGATTTAAAGTGTGTAATCAGCTCTGTGTATCAGTACACTAATTAATGAGTAGTTTAAAACCCTGCTATACTGAATCCAGTGAGTGTGCTCTATATAGCTGTATGTTTTGATCAGAGATGTTCTAATTACCCCAACCTGAAACATTGGCCTAACCAAAGGACTGCTGCATTTTGCTTGATGAGTAAACACACCACATGCTTTCCACTTAAGATGAAGTGATTAATTTTTCATACATTTAGACTCAATTAATTCTATTTTCAGGTGACATTTCGAACTCGAATTTACCACTGCAATATCAACAGCCAAGGAGTGATTTGTTTGGATATTCTAAAGGACAATTGGAGTCCTGCTTTGACTATCTCCAAAGTGTTGTTGTCAATTTGTTCACTTCTCACGGACTGTAACCCTGCCGATCCATTGGTTGGAAGCATCGCTACACAATACACTCAGAATAGAACTGAACACGATAGAGTGGCTCGACAGTGGACAAAACGCTTCGCCACAGGACTCTGATCGGAATCCGAGGGTTTATTTATCATTTCTAATTTTGTCTGTCACATGTACTTCACAAGTTCTTCATATATATACAAAAACATTTTATTAATGTATGAAACATTTTAAATTTGTGATGAAATGGCTTTTACAGTGTTTTTACTCCAAAGACTTTCCTTATGAAGTTTTCGTCACTTTTTAAGTTTTATTTTGACAATATTATGTTGATAGAAAAGGAAAATTTGTTATAATTTGGACCTTATTTTTTTGTTTTAAATTAGAAACACTCTGAATGAAAATCTTGGAATTCTTTTTCACACAGTATTGTTGAAAAGTATGTTTGAAACAGAATGTTAAATTAACAAATGAAATATTAATTGTGGCCAGCTTAGGTTTTTGGTTATTTTTTAAGCGAAGTTTTACCTTTATCGCAAAGTTTTACCTTTATCACTAGTTTCAGATGTTTTTTATCGGATCACATGGTTAGAATGTTTTATTAAGATATTATTTTACTTAAATAGACAAACTTTACTGTAATACATAATTACATAATGCTTACTATCAGTGAATTACATGTATATGTTACATGCATGTACTCGTGATAAAAGTTTTTTTCTCTTGATAACAAACTCTAGAGAATTTAACAATTTTATTCCTGAAGTGACAGTGAAGTTCTTTTAAAATGGGTATTAATAAAGAATGCCTGTTATTTATCTGAAAGAATGCTTGAAGCATAATATCTTTATCGTCTTCAAATGATGAGCTGTCGTTTGATATAAGTGTATGCATATTTCCATGCGAGTTGTAACTGTATACCGGTATTTGATACGTAACAACATAAGAATGCTATGTGGGAAAAAAGCGAATGGTGAAAATGATAACTGCATGGTTGCAACATTTTGTGATCTTGTTTGGAATTTTGTCGAAGATTTTTTTTTGTTTGGTCAAGTGCTTACCTACATGTAAGTGGTTGTCTTTTTTTAAAACTTGAAGTGTGTATGTAATGGTATATGATACATTGTCAGTATGTATGTAATGTACACTTTTAAATTGAAGTCAGAACTTTTGTACAAGAGAATTTTTTCAAAGTTTAATAACAATATTACATACCTGTACGATTTATTTTTTAGTGTATATTGTTTCATTTTCTCAGGCATTTTATTATGGGGTTTATTTATGTTGACTTTTTATGGGGTTGTGTGTGTATTGCTGAGCAAATTTTCAAAATTGGATCTTATTTAGTACATTGTATAATGTACAACCCAAATTCTATATAAAATGGCCTCTTAGATGTATCAGGTATGTAGGTACATGTTTTAGTGTGAAAATGGGTGTATATTGAATGTGGATATTGATGTGTGCGGATGATTTTATGCCAAATGTGTATGAATGGTCACATGTTTTATGTGAATAAAGTTGTCAAATTGTAGTTGGTTTTTATGCTTTTTATAATTTTTGGTTCAATCTGATATTGGAGACATAGGAATGAATTTGTTGCATGTGATATATTTGGAAATGTTGGATTTTTCTTTTATTTCCCACTGGAGAGACCTATAGGTTTCCTCTTCGTCTGTCTGACTATTGTCCATAGGCGTCGGAACTGGGGGGCTGAGGGAGGGGGGGGTAAGCCCCCCACTTTTTTTGCAAAAATAGACATAATATAGGCATTGAAAATTGGGGCTTACATTTTTTGTTGGTTTAGCCCCCCCCCCCCCCTTTCAATTTGCTTCCGACGCCTATGTTGTCTTTCTTTCTGTCAGTCAGTCTGTCCAATTGAGCTGACTTTTGGTGTGCGAGTCTTTCTTGATGAGCTACAGATCAAGTCTGCATTTCATTCCGCTTAGATGATTTTGATGGAATTACAACACATACATGTACCAGTAGGGAAACTAATCTCAGCAAGATTTGTAGAGACTAAAAATTTTGGTCTGGTAGTCCCTATGAATCTCAGACCAGTGTCACATAGTAGGACAGCTAATTCATTTCAGCCCGTATTAATTGAATCAAGCGGTCGAAGTCCGGGGACGATTTCCCGAATGAGATTATCATGATTACGTGACACTGGTTTGAGATTTGTAGGGACTACCAGAACAACATTTTTAGTCTCTACGAATCTCGCTGAGATTATAGGGAAACTGTTGGGGACGATAGTTTTCCTCTTCATCTGTCTGTTCATCTGTCTGCTAACTTAGCATCTTTGACTTCTTTACCAGAACCACTAGACCCATTTCAACCAAACTTGGCACAAAGCATCCTCAGGTAAAGGGAATTCAAGTTTGTTCAAATCAAGGGCAACACCCTTTGGAAAGGGGAGATAAGACCGCCGAACATTACCTGGCAAAATTGGAAATATGCAGCTTACGTCATTTCCATCTGTTAATTAAAGTCAGAACATTTAATGATAGACAATGAAATGAGCGGGTACAATTCGACTCGGACGTCCGAGAAAACATTGGATTGTAATTCTAGTTCGAGATTCATTTTCAATCCAGCATTGACCCAGAAGACAAATAATTTCAATTTCGTAATAGTTTGAAATTCATATAAATCAGAATTTTCTATCCGCAGTGTTTTTAAAGAAATATAAAGGGACAAATATTTGATTTCTGTTTGATTTGTGTGCTGAGGGAAGGGGAGTGGAGGGGGGCTGAACGATCTGGAAAATAAATAAAGTTTTTTTTTTTTTTTTTTTTTTTTGGACAACCCCTCCCTGATTTTGTGTGTAAAACATGTTTCAGTGAAGACAAAACTAAAAAAAAAAAGCTGTTGTCATCCTAGAAATAAATATATTCTGTCATGTGAAGGCATGATCTGACTCGACAATTTTTGACAGCCGCCCCCTTCTAGAATCAAATGCCCGTCCCCTGAAAAAATAATCTCTGTCTTCTATTACTTTTATGTGTCCTTAAAATTATAGGCTAAAAAACTCATGTGAATTTCAAACAGCATGTATTTGGGAATTGAAATTATTTGTCTTTTGGATCATACATTCACACTTTAAGTTTGAAAACAGCTCAGGTGGATTGAAAATGAATTTCAATCCAATGTTTTCTCGGACGTCCGTGTCGAATTGTACCCGCCCATTTCATTGTCTATCATTAAACATTTTGACTTTGACAGATGAAAATGACGTAAGCTGCATATTTCCAATTTTGCCAGTTACTGTTCTGCGGTCTTAATCGAGAAAATGCAAAAATAAGGTGGATGCATGTCTATAAAAATCTCAAGAACCACTGGGCAAGAAAGGATGAAAGCTTCCTGACATAGTATATATTACAGTTTCTTCAAAACAAGGCCCCTGGGGGAGGGTGGGACCAAATTTTTACATGGGAATGTATAGGAAAAAAATCTTTTAAAAGCATTTTACAGCATAACTTTTTAACAGCTTTTTACAGCATAATTATGATTAGTCAAATTAACAAGCATTCTGAGAGTATTGCATTAGCAATACTAGTCCCCTACCGGCAAATGTAATCTGGTTCCGTTCCCGTTAAAAATTGAAAATGCCATAATTCCGTCAAAAATTAATGAAGCAGGACGAAATGCAAACTTGATCTATAACTAATCAAGGTAAAGCCACACACCAAAAATCAGCTCAATGTCTACAAGCGTTTAGAAGAAAATTGCGGAAAACCCGTAAAAATTGAAAAGGTCGTAATTCCGTCAAAAATCAACGAAGCGGAACGAAATGCAAACTTGATCTGTAACTCATCAAGATACACTCACATACCAAAAATCAGCTCAATATCTGCAAGCGTTTAGGAAAAAAGTGCGGAAAACCAAGTGGGACAGACTGACAGACAGACAGACGGACAGACAGACTCAGAGGAAACCTATAGTCCCCTCCGGTTTCACCGGTAGGGGACTAATAAGCAAGCATTCTCAGATAGTGTAGATTCAAGTTTGTTTAAATCATGGACCTTGGGGATAAGGTTGGGGCACAGTTCTGAAGAACAGCTGGGCCAAGGTGAGTCAGGTGAGCCTTGTGGTCAATGGGCCTTTTGTTATTAATTTTGAAGGGGAACCAAATTGCACTTGCCGGTACAGAACTAGTAATGCATGTTATGCAATACTTTCGCAATGTTTGTTGAACGCAAGCAGTAGATCCCCTTTTGGTACTGTATGTATATATCAGAGACATCACTATGTCCATGCCAGAGACATCACTATGTCCATGCAGTTGCTTTATTGAATGCAAGCAGTAGATCCCCTTTTGGTATGCACACATAAGGCCACCTTCAAAATAATGTTTGTTTGTCCTATCCCGACTCAGGATGAAAAGAATTGGGTCGGTAGGTAGGTAAGAAAATTTTTTTCTCAGAAAATTCAATTTCAATGCTATTTTTTTTTTTAAATCTACTGTCCATATATAATACAGAAAAAAAATAATTGCTTCCTGGAAGTTAAAATAAGTTTTGAGTCGGACCATTTTAGCTAGTCGGTCGGGAGAAGGCAACCAAACAATTTTTTAAAGATGGCCTCAGAGAGTTTCTAATTTCTCTCATTTTAACCAAACTTCATAATTCCAAATTGCCAGGTAAAAATGGTTTGGGGTAGTCTTGAACCTACTCTGAACTTGAGAATATTTTATCTTAAACAATAAAGATTCTGTGGAAGTATTATTAAGTATAAGAGGAGTTGCGGATAAGAGATGATCCGTACCCTCTCAGGTGGAATGGCAGTGTCTATGTTTTGCTATTGGAAACCCAAAATATGTGTCCAAATCAAAAAGTAAAATACATGTAGGAGGTGCAATGGCACTATGTAAGAAAGATTCTCTGAACAGCTGAAAGTCTCATTAAATTTCATTCAGTGGTATAAGAGGAGTTGCGGATAAGAGATGGGTACCCCAAAGCGTTACCATTGGTTACGGACGGACATACAAGACAAGCATTCTGAGACTATTGCATAAGCAATACTAGTCCCCTGTCATACCTGGCAAGTTAATCTGGTTCCCCTAAAAAATTAAAGAGGCCTTAATTGTGTCAAAAATCATTGACGTGGAACAAAATGCAAACTTGATCTAGAGCTTTAAATCTATCCTTGCAAATGTTGAAAATAAATAATCTGTTCTCCATTGGGAAGGGAAAAAAAATCTTACTTTAACGGATGGTAACCCCCCCCCCCCTTCTTAAAGTAGAGTTTTCGAAATTTCGACTTTGGACAGACTTCCTAAATTTATTTACTTTGATTTTTGTTTTGTTTTGTATTTGCTTTTGTTTTTGTTTTTGCTTGCTTGTCAACTTTTCTAAGGGAAGAAAACAAATAAACTGTCTCTGGTCATCTTGGAAATAAAAATTCTATCCTGGAACGGTATGAAAATAAAATTATCTAAAATTTAATTCTGTTTGCATTATATTATATAGAGTTATAGAGTTATATTATAGAGTTTGCTATATTTGGTTTTTCATTGAGGCAGGTATGAAGTCAATTTTCCCGCTAAATCGTTGTTACTGGGTCGTTTTGCGTAAACATAATTTCGGAACTCATCGAGCTGCTTCCTCGAAGAAACAGCAAAAACCAAAAAAAGATTAAAGGACTAAGGAGGTCTGTCATTCAGATATGAAAGATCGATTAGAATACGATGTCAGTGAAACAAGTAAGGTACGGACAATGTAATGATCATAATTTGACCCAGAAGGCATATAATATTTAAAGAAAAGCGCATCAAAATAGTATATAGGCTGAGTAACTTCGTTCGAATTATCTCAGCAGTGTATACATGTTGACGTAATCACAGGTAATGCATAAAACATAAATGATAAGATTAAGTTAAAGTATTCAAATAGATGAATCATAGAAAATTCTTCACTAAATGACATCAAAATATATTGCTCTGTGTCACAGAATGAGTAAAGCTAATGTTTATCGTGATTGTAGGATTAAAATATTTTATCACAGGTTTAAAATCACACTTCAAAACACAGCCACAAGTGCCTGGGACTTAATATTTTATGAATATGTGTGAAAGCTTTTATTTGTAAGAATATAGGTTACCATGCATATTCATATATATCAATACCCAGCACCTGTGTTCAAAAATTTGCTTTAAAATTATGCACAAAATTTTATTATATGACTAAAACCAAAAAAAATAGTATCCTGTGGCCAGGTGGTGGTCAGACAAGTTCAATCACACATGCTAATCATGTGCGATTGAACCTGTGTTCAGCGGGCCCTGGTTCAAATCCTTGTCTGTTACATTAATGCTAAATCTTTCCTGTTGCATAATTTGGTGTCATTGACCACCCCTGGACTTTGGGTGGAAGTCGAGGTGCCAAGGGCAAACAATCTTGGTTGTGTCTTTGGGGGCAAATTAAGACTTTTAAGGAGGGAGGAATTAATTGGCAGTTAGACAGGTTCACATGTGAGTTAAGGTTTGATAATTGCATTTCTATGCAATTGAGATTTCAAAAAA